CACATTTTGCTACCTTAACAGTTTTACATTTTCTGGGCATTTATTATTTCTGGCCTTATTTTTCCAGCTATTCTCCCTTCTTAAAAGATAGGTGGCGCTACACCCTAATACCTCCAGTTAGAGTGACACTAATATCTTACATAACAGGAAGTCACCCCAGCAAGAAATCATGTCACATTACTCTTTGTCACAGCCTGCAACAACAGTTAAGATGGGGATCATTAAATACCCTGGCAAAGGCGGACACTATCAGAAAAAAAGCGTACAGCCATAATACAGTTTTGTTCTCTAAGGTACAAACAACATTAATGTACTCCCCATGGTCCATTTGTGCACCATAAAAGGTACACCCTAACCCTAACCACCCTCTGTGGTAAAAATGTTGGTGGGTTACTGTCCTATAGTGTTTAAACCATGACAAAGGTGGGACTCTATAGATGCCTTCAGTGACGTGTAAGGAAATCGGTACCATTTGGTTACATCAGTTATCTGCCTCAGGAATGCAGGTCCCATTGGGCTCTCCTGGACAGAGCAAACACAGAGTTATAGGTCTGACTAAAGCAGCGCCAGTCAACCAAACAGTACAGCTTTAGTCTGAGACAAAGTCATAAGGGGCTTTCTGGGGTGGGGGGGCTGAAGCTGGCCTAGGGTTCCCCTTGGGCTTCAGCCGGCTCGGGGTAAAGGGCTTCATTTGCTTTTAAGAATGACTTAAGCAGGTAAGTAATTAATGACTAATTAATGAGCGTTATAAGCATGACGAAGGCAGGGCTCTATATATACTCTCAGTGACGTATAAGGAAATCATTACCATTTGTCAGATTCTGTTTCTCCGTCTCTGTGTCCGTAGTGGTGGAGCTTCTATCAGTGGTCACTGGACAGAGCAGACAGAGGTACAGAACTCAGTGCCTGTAATGGGTTTGCTATGCTTTTTAAACTTGACTTAAGCAGGTCACTAATTAATAATAATCACTAAGCATTCTCTTTGCTGGGCCAAGTGTCAGTATTAAAATGTCTGTATATTACCAGTAAGACAGAGATGTTTCATAGCTAGTAATGTTCTGACCAGCTACAAGCACAATAGCACGTTTGAAACCATTCTTTAGTTCTGAATACAGAACAACTAGCTGAACATGGGGCTGTAATACACTCAGTTGCTATTAGTAAAGCGGATTGTGGTCTTACTGTTCTGTGACAGCCACACATGAAATGTAGTATGTTTAATTGATGCTGATGTGATGGACAGTGGTTAACAAACAATTTATCAATGACATCTCTGGTCCTTAAAGAAAATTTCAAAAAAAGCATTACCAGTGTCTTTACTGCCAAAGCTGCATAGGACTGAAATGCATTTCCCTGGAGGGGAAAATAAATAAATAAAAATTACAAACTATTCTTCATTAATATAAATAAAAATGTCAAGTATTTAATGAATTGAACAAAACATTAAAAAAACTAGTAGAAAAAATGTTGCGCTGGACTGAAAAAGAAAAGAAAAAGGTTTAAGGCCTGAAACACAAACTGTCCAGTAATACTAATGTTTGATTTTTGAACACAGGGAAGTTGAGATACAAAGATTGCATTAACGAATAAAGGAAATCTCTAAACAATTATAAAACACAATAATTCCAAACTGGAGGAGTATGTACATAAAAAAAAGCATAGAAATAATTATTAAATGTAAACCAGACAAGCAGCATAGCACATGTAAGTTTGTTTTTTTTCCATGACTTACCTTTGTTCTTACACAGGAATACAGCAACTGCGGCCCCAATGATGAGTAACGCCAACGTAACACCAATGCTAATCCAAAGAATAAGGTCAGATTGAGGTTCTGTGAAGACAGTTACATGCACATTAAACTTCCAAAAAAGCCTAATTATTTAAAAATTCCACAGATGAAACGTGGTCCAATGTTGTGTGTGTGGTAAGGGGCTAATACTGGTTAATACAAAGGAACTACCTATTCAGGACACTGGCCTAATTGGTAACTATTCTGGGTTTTTAGTGAGTAGAAATGGGATCGAATAATACATCGCAACCTACGCTGTAGCGTATAAGCTTATTTGGACGATTCAGTTCATTGCATTATCTGCAATGCACTTTTAGTCCATGTTATGAATAATACTAACATTTACGTCATACCTGTTGGTTAAGCATATTTGCGGTTTGCGTTGTGGTTCTGAATGAAGGGAA